GGTTATGGTGTCCTCCCCCTCTCTTCGGACTTCACATAGCCCTAGGATATGCCACCTAATCTTCCCAAGTTCCACCTCAAGTTGCGCCAGATGCGAGTCTAGCCGTAGCGTGCGTCCGTTGTACGTAGCCAGGGTCAGTCGGTTGTGGTGGCCTCCCGTAGCCCGGAGATTCTTCGCACCCCCTGCCCCGCCTTTACCGTGGTCGCCACCATGACCAGGAATAGCGGGGCCGCCGGGAACTGGGGGCCGTGGCCTTTGTTGCGTCTGCATGGGAGGGGTTTGCCCATAATCGCCACGCTGGGCAGGCGGGTTGGCGATCGCAGGGCGTAGCTTGTCGCACCGGTAACGCTGCTGCCCGTCACCGGCCTGTTGTATTTAGCTACGCCTATTGGGATGGATATACCGCCATCGGTCGGTCGCCAGAGCCTCGTTCGTCGTTCAGCAGGATGCACCGCGGGCAGGTGAGGTTGGCTTGGGGCGAAAGATGGTGGTTCGCCCCTCACACCCTCAATTTTTGTGCAATATGCCTATGTTAATGAAACCAATTTGCCATTTATTATTATTATACTTGGATGTATAAAATTTTACTTGATACAAATAAATTGTCTTCAACATGGGAGAAGATACGAGAACAAATATGAATGTGTACAAAATCTTATAAACTACAAAGAAAGATAATATTTGTGCAAATATTGGTGAAGAAGCTACATATCATAATGAAACAGTGGCAATATATCATTTTATTAAGGTTGGACACCTCGACCACGTGCTACAAGTTTATTATATTTTTGTATTATGAATGATAATACATCGTAATTGGGTCATGTCACTTGATTCAAATATTTAGGTCGAAGGAAGTGACTAGAACAGTGGCAACTTTTATTTCAGTCATTTGTTAATTTAAGATTACGTGTAGAATCTTACACTCAATATACGAGTATTCTACCTCACTATAACGTACTGTATATATAACAACAATTTTCTACAACGTAAAACCTAGAAGCAGTGGCGTATTTAAGCTAAGGTTACGAGGACACGAGTCCAGATCGTTAGGTTCTAGTCGCGGCTCATATGTGTTGGTGGGTCACCATTGCCTTGTTTACTATTTAGCAGACTACAAAACGTCAGGTTTGCTTAAAGCCATTGCTTAAAACACTACAAGCTGTTGACATAGATTATAAGGTATCACTCCATCATCACTTCCGTTAACAATACTAAGGGTAGAAATCTTCTTGTGTCCGGGGTGTCTTATTTGAAAATATGGTTCTACGTAGAAGTGAGAACCAATAAATCATATACCATTAATTTATCTAAGTCGTGAGTAAGAACTCTAACCGTGTTACTGACCGAGGCATTCCAACTGATCTAAAGAACTAATTCTATAATTAGTAAAATCAGTTTGGTATCAGCTTATCGCCTTTTGCTTCAGTAATTAGTAAATTTGTTAGTGGGTAAGAAATTTTACCACTTAATTTTGTGAATAGCTGCTTACAGCCAATGAAAAGGCAGATCGCTAACTATCACAGCCACAAATACGTGAAAAAGCACTTCATATTATTAGTCATATTCTTAAGAATAACAGTTTATAAATTTGAATTTGCAACAAGTACTGAAAAGTAGGCACGTTATTCAAGTGTGAATACCTAAATATAAATCTCAGTGCCAAGATAAATCGATCACATGCAGACAGCATACTGATAACCAGGTTTATAGTGTAGTTGATCATTCTGACGGAAAAAACTGTCATGAAACATAAAAGTCACATGTCATGACGTAGGACACGAACAAATATTAATACATTCTGTACCGGCGAACTGGGTGAAGGATTCAACAATTATTGTAATCTAAAATTTGTGGCAAATATTATCACTATGTGTGATATTTACAGGTAGTACGGATTTATCAAGTTACTTAGTTCCTTTACTAAGTTAAGGAGAGGCCTATGGCTAGCAAATGACTATTACAGGCAGTGGATTATTAAAATAATGATGACGATGATTTGATGGACGCCGTAGCACACAAAGGCTTAGGTTGAAGTTACGGCTTTAAGTGATACAGTACAAAAAAGCTTTTCACATTATGTACTAAATAATGAAATTCACATTATGTACCTACATGTGTTTATTTTGAAACAACATAGGTAAGATTTTTTTTAAATATCAACTTTTAACAGTTTTATATATCTTCATAATAAATCTATATTTTATCTATAAGGACATCAACAAGTATGTACTTGTCTACGGTATCAATATATAGACAATTCCGTGTTACATCGTTGACAGTTTTTAATTTTTTTACTTAAATAGTGAAGCTGGAAAGTGGGGCTGTTGACGAGATGGGTACAGTAAATTTTTAGAAAGATAAATGATAATTTATAGAAGAATTAAAGAAATATCCAATAATACCATGAAGCAGAATTAAGAAACTGAGAATAAGAACTAAAATAAGAAACAGATTTATGTTTTACTAATGGATTTAATAATACATATATATTTAAAATAAAATATAATAATATCTTATAGATACTAATTTCTGAAAAAAATTGTTGTAAATATTCTCCCTAGAAGTATTTTGAATTCTTCTAGATATACAGTGCTTTAAATATAGAATTCCTGATTTTTAATACAGAAATTTTATTTTATAAAAGACAAGTTGCCTTGAATTTGGCACTTAAACCGATAAAGCTAATATTTGATCAACGAGAAAATTGACATAGATAAGTCTATATTATTCAATTCTAAAGATGTTGATGGAGTGCCCAGATTTTTCAAAATTGACGAAAAAAATAATCCAAATGAATTTTTATTGAAGTTAATTTAATTATTTGTAAGCTTCTCATAATGAGCCGGTAATCTACCTAATCCTGTATAGTGTTTTAAATACATACATAACGTCCTGTATAGTGTTTTAAATACATTGACATTGAAATATCATCTATCATCTACAGCCTTTAATAGTCCACTGTTGGACATAGGCCTTTCCTTAGAAAGGAGGTTTGAAATATTGCTTTTTCTATATCTATTACAGACGTGAAGGCCTATGATAAATACAAATGATACACATACATTTTTGTATATCGAAACCAATTAATTTCTTATTGACATACCTTCAAAAATCGAGTGAAGAAGCCGTACAATGTAGGTTCATGGTATGGCTTCATCTGATAAGGAATATGGTTGAACATTGAGTAAAGGATAAGGAATAGCCAAAATAATGATTTAGACGAATTCAAACTCATATTGCATCAATGGTACAATTTGAATTTAAAAATCTATGATGGAATTTGTAGGAGGCAGACTACATTATAATGCAATAGATTATTTTTATGGATGCCGAATAAATTTAGTTTGATCTCTTGTGCAGAGTGTTGCTTATCACACATTGGGTGTTTACACATTTTTATTTAAATACTAGCTGACCCGCGCTTCTTCACCTGCTATTACTGAATAAATTTTCATCATTTTCGCAACATTTTTCATTGATTCTCGGCTCCTATTTATAGTAGCATGATGTTATGTAGCCTCTATATCCTTCCTCGATAAAAGGGCTATCCAACACTCAAAGATTTTTTTAATTCTGATCCGTTGTCCCTGAGATTACGACGAACATACAAACTCATAAACTTTACCTCTTTAGGATATTTATATAGATGTCTCACAGTCTTATGTCTCATGCACTCACTCACTTTTCATATTATGAGATTAAAAAACAATTTTATCCGATTTTAGGCTTTCTCTATTACAAACTTTGTCCTGACCAAAACGAACACAAAAGAAATAATTATACAATTTGGTTTAGTCGTTCAAAAGTTTATAATAATATAAGTTAAGTTTATAATAATATAAGTTTTTTATAATAATATAATATATATAGATCATTGTTTGTGGTAGAGAAATATGAAAATAATGTCGGTTTTGATAACAAATGAAATGAGTTTTAGTTAGAGAGAGACTAACAAACGTCAATTAATTTTTATATATAGATAAATCTTCGTAAGTCTGTGTTACTGGGTTAATAATATAATAATAATAATAGTTTTATTTTCAGACATATACAGTCCATGGGTTGTTTAGTAATGGGTTAGAAACAGAAAGTACTTAACGTCTATATTAGTATTGTTAGTAACGGCACTTAATAGTAGAAAGGCATTCAACTATGCTTTCCTATTGCTATTGCACCCAGTGCCTTTGCATAGGACAGTCTGGCCTACTAGCAATCATCTTCAGGACGCTGTTCCGGGTATTTCGCAAGCGCTGTAGCATGGAAGCCGATTTTTTACGCATGAGAGCATGAAAACCGTCGGTGCGTGTTTCGGCAAACATGCCCGATGCACTACAATACCGCGGCAGCCGCAACAGCATCCTGAAGACGTTGTTATACTGTACGCACAGGACGTTGTAGGTCCGTTCTGTATATGACACCCACAGGCCGCTCGAATAGAAGGACTGACAGAACGCTTTAAATAAAGTCACTTTAACGTCTGCCGTGCAGCGAGCAAACCTACGAGCGAGCATATTGCCCTAGCATATTGTTAAGCAGTAATACATTTATTCTGAATATTTTAATAACAAAAAATTAGTTTAAAAACTAAACCTAATTGAAATGTTCTAAAAATCATTTTACAACGGAGGCGTTAGTATGTTTTTTTTTTTACTTTCCTTTGTTCGTTTTCCTTATAAACCTTATCAGAAATAGACAGACGCTACTTACTATAAACAGCAATACACTTAGGTTCGAAGAAATACTTATGCAGTCTAATTATTATCTACTAATATTGTATCGATAGAGGATAGAACTGATATGTAGCCTAGCTATTATTAGCAGTACAGTACATAGTACTAAGTATTAGTAATATTTGTGACAGTTAGTATTATTGTTTTTTAAACCCTCCCATCATTTATATGTACCTCTACAGCCAACGTAATTATACTGCAAGGAGGTTATGAGAGCAAGCTAAAGGGAACGACAAATATCAATATGGCTTTTCTAAAAATACTAACCTGGAACTGTCACATCGAGGAGATAAGCACGTGCTGGACTCTGACAAGCGTCGGCGTCGAAGTCCAAGAAAACGGTGCCAAGAACTGTGAATAAGATGCCCCATGGATGATAATTGCTGCCTTCAGTCTCCAAAACTGAACTCCGAGGTCCTAAAGCAGATGGTGCATCTGTTCTGTTGACTGGTAACTCGTCACCCAACGCATACCCTATGGCTTCGCCGTTTGGAACTAGAATTAATCCTGTGAATATCAAGATTTAAAGTTACTTCTATATAAGAAAGATATATAGGTATACAATTTAGAGTATTAGCGATGTAAGACTGGTTGGCTGAAGTTGGGCTTCCATTTCTATTTAAATCGCTAAGGTTAACGAACCGAAAATGAGTGACGTGTTCCTTTCCTCGATCATTATTATATAAACATGTTTGAACGGGGAATTATATCTTTAATTTACTCTACATACATATGTCTACAAAAAATCTTATGACAACAAAACTTAATAGTCTTGTCGGTTTTGTAAGCCAAGGTTTTATTTGTGAGACGAAGGAGCTTTAAAATGTACATGTATTCATTACCGAAAAAACATTGGTTTATTTATAAAACTGTTATCCTAATGTGTACTCTTAAAAGAAGTGGGTACGTGGGTCACTCACATGATTATTTTACACAGAGTTTTGAACTGTAGTTGATATCTTTCTACACATCTATGTCTAAAGAAAGTTCTTAGCCCTACTTTCTTAGTAGATTTCACGCATAGGGGATTATAGAATTGGGTAGTTTAAGTATATATGTAAAAAGCTAACATTTTTCAGTGATATGTGTCATAAATTCAATAATTAAGTGAAAATCTGTCCCTGTATGGCTAATCCGTACAATGACGGATCGATTTATACTGGAAATAATAACTTGGTACAGTCGAACTTCGAACACCAGAAAATCTCTATTAGTAGAAGTATACTTTTATTAATTCCAAAAATAGTATTTTATCGTATTAGATAAAGTCCTTATATATTGTAATGGTTTTGCTTCATTTCTTAATTTTCAGCAGTCAGAGATACATCTCTGACTGCTGAAAATTAAGAAATGAAGCTTATTATATAAACGATAATATTACAATATATAAAAAGATAATATTACAATATTATCTTGAAACTTAACTAATTGATTTCCTAATTTCTTTTTTGAGTTATTTTCTAACGCATTACTGAAACTAGCTTAAAATCAATTACTTCACACTTTTACAGAATATTCCCCCGGCTGGAGTTTTTATAAAAGTTTTTAAAGGTTTCTAATTTGAGCAACCTCATCTTCAGATCCTGACTTGATGACAAAGAGATAACCTGGACAGTACGCCCAATAAACAAGAAGATACTTTACAAGTAGGCAAGTCATCTTGGAGTATGCGGGTGACTTATTTGAAGAGTTATCAACTCGTCTCGTCAGTTAACGCTTAGGATGTAGCAAATTAGGTACCTACATTCAATTATAACAGTGAAAACCTTAGAGAAAATGAATACATACAACCTTGAAGTCGTGTACGGTTTAAAAGATAATTAGTTATTTATTTTTAAAAGAAAATCAACTTTAAAAGAAAATTATTCTTATATCTTGAAAATAGTTCGATAAAAAAGTATTTCTTATACAAACTATAAAAAACCAGACGTAAAAAGAAAACTAATAAAAATGATACTATATCTCAGGCAAACCACACACAAAAAATACTGATATCGATTATTTATACCGTACTCATCTACATAAGTTTAAGCACGTGGTACGTATATATAGTTTTCACATCAGTTATACTTCGCCAGATAATCCTGCCTAGCATAAAAGAGCTCTTTACGGCTTCATTACTCAGGTTTCAACATATAAAACACCAAAGCTGTCTCATCCTTGGCTTGCTGATATTTCATTTGATAAATAGGCGATTTCATTTTAAATTTAACTTAGAAGCTGTCCCTTAACATCAGAGGAATAAATAAATTTAAAGGATGAACACAAAGATGTGAATGATAGTAATTGAATCTCAATGTAATAAAATTGAAGAGTTTGTTTAAGCGCATCAAGCTAACTTTCTTTTTGTATACCACTATTCATAAAGTAGTCATTAAAAAAAGCTACGTAACATCTCACTACAGTCTTTAAAGATAGTGCCGTGATTACAATCGGGGAATTGTGAAACTGCGGGTAACTGCAAGTATTTCATAAAATCATAAAATTAAATTAAATAAATAAATTTCCAGGTTGTCTATCATTTGAGCAAATATCTGCTGTGACCTTGTACTAAATAATTTATTTTATTATAGTTTGAAATGATTGATTTGAATGAATTATTTTAATGTACCTATAAGTTAAATATTTACCAAGTAAAACGCCCACAGACATCAAAACTATAAAGGGCCTTCTCCTTCCAAACTTCGACCGACACCTGTCACTCAATGAACCCAGTAGAGGTGTCATAAAGAATCCAATAAGCGGTGACAGCGCCCACACTAAGGTCATCTGATGATGAGGAACTCCTATCTGCAGGAGAGTGGGAGACACGAAAGCTGTCTCTCCAGCATACGAAAACTCGATGCCCATAACTGCTGCCGATATTCGCATCAGCTCAATCCGACTTTTCCTCCTAAAAATAAAACCTCTGTTTTAAATGATTTAAAGTTTTAAGAATAAAAGAGTGATTAATAATAAGGTAATTTTAGTAAAAACTATTTTTATCGCGCATCAAGCAAATGCGTGAACTGCTATTTATCGAGAAAATGCTCGTGTAAATAGCAGTTCACGCTATCAGTATTGAATGTAGCCATTACGCTACTACTGCTTGACATTTATTATGAGAAGTTCTATGGGTTCAACATACAATAGCATGTTAACTAGTAATACTTTGACGATAATAGGATGTCTCCGTGCAAATAATTGCTCAATTTATTATCCGTGTTTGAATCATTGACAAGATATTTATTGTGTTTTTACATAATATTTACAAAACCAATAGTTAAATAAATATTGCAGTGTGGGAAGTAAGGGAAACATGAAAGGGAAAAAAGGTTCTCTAAGACGCAAATTTTGATAGAGCTTTATGTGAACTATGTCTCTAACCTTCTATTTCTCGAAACTTATAGATAGTTTTTGTGTGATATTCATGCACTTGGCGATGACGAATAGTGTACGAATGTGTAAGAAAAGAACTCAGACTTTTATAAAAGCTAAAAGTTTTCCTGCCCAAATGCACAACAGATATAGAATTGGTCGGCTAATATGTAGTTTGGAGGATAATAACAGCTTAGCTTTTTAGCAGCAAAGGTGCATGGTCTCTACACTCCTTGAAGTATGAAGCATTTTTTCGGTGTAAAAAATCATGAGCATTATTGCTAGGTATTCAGCCTGGTGGCTAACCTCTGTCAGGCATCATTAGTTTGACAAATCAGAGTTATTTTTTCGTCATCACATAAAAGGGATAACTACTAAGGGATGCAAAAAAAAAGATGTTTCTTAAGTAGTTAGACATTTTAATAAATTGTACTGTTAGGACTGATCCTGTTTGAATGAAAATACGAATAGGTATCGGAATAGGATTTTTTTAAATCGTATCTAAAAGTCAAGACTATATAGTAAAGTTAATGTAACAATACACATTAATTATAAGAACACATCATCATCATCAACAGCCTTTAGTAGTGGTTGGACATAGGCTTCTTCTTAGAAAGGGCGTTTTATATTTACGTTATAATTATAAATTTATATAATCGTTAAGAGATAGACTGTTTTATAGCAGCGGTAAAATTGTATTGGAAAAACATTGTTTACATAAATGCACTATTTAAGCCAATACCAATTGCCAATGACATTTTCGGATCAAAAAAAGATTGATATTTGCCAAACGGCGGCGTACTCTTATGCTTGTTATTTAGCGCTAAATATTCTTTTCATGCATTGAATTTTAAATTCAATTTGACTTACACCACATTCTGATAAGAGTATATCTTAAATTTTGGAGAAGCATCACAGGAGATAGAGAGGGCAGAGGTCCATCAACTGCGGGGATGGCAGTGACTTAAGTGGTCACCTCGCCACTAAGCGGATTGAGCATTTGAATGTCACACAGTATTAAATATCCGACTGTGGTTGTGTCCGTTGCTTGAATGTTTGTTTGAAGTCCCACGTGACACAGGAATTATTTCTAATACAATTTGAAGTTGCAATATTAGTGTTGTATGTTTTAAAACGCCCATAAACGACTGATAAATTTATATGAACAAAATATTAACGCCGATTACTTATTTAAAAATGTTTAGAAAAAAAAAAACTCACCTGTACAAATCACTGTATTCACTATCCTGCCAAACCCGTTCTGGCGCCTCATCTGAATTGGGAATACCAAAAAATGTCTCAGCAACGACATCCCTTACTCCTCTTGGATGCTGCTCTCTCCACTGCGATAATCTCTCGCGGTACCTGTCCCTTGCACAATGAAGACGGCCCGTAATCCCTTGATATTCGTGAAGTTTATCCGTCATTTTGAATTTTAATGTATTATTTGAATAACACTCGTTATGGTAAAGTGTATACAAGACACATAACGGAGGTTAATGTATATCTGCCATAACCTACACGGTTCTGAATAAATATTGAAATAGGTAAATTGCTGGATCTGTATCACAAAAGCTCAAAATACGAGGCTCTTGTCGCTGTTATAATATAGGTGTTTTTTTTTTTTAAATTAGGTATTTGTCATAAAAGTATCTTTAAGAATGAGAGGTCTTATTAATGTCTGTGGTTTAGTTCTATCCCAGGAGGTGCACCTCTAACATTGCAATGCTTGTAAGCTTATCAAACACTAATTATTTTTTGCCGTTAAAGTAAAGGAAAACGTCGTTAGAAATTCTGCACAACAGGGGATTTTAAACCACGACCTCTATAATTTAAGACGTCAGCAACTCCTGTTAAGAAAGCCTGGTTGACATAGCTAGTCAAGTTTAGTGGACTAGTATCTCTAAGAGAGAAGAGCTATGCCTAGAAGCGGGACAATTTATACGAGTATATAGGAATGAAATCGATCAATATCGTGTGTAATGTCAATATACAGCGTCCAATAAGTTATTTTCATCTGAAGTCAATTGTACACGTATGTGCGTAAATGCCAACATAGACTGACAGAAGCTAGCAGCAGAACAAATGGTAATTAAATCAAATTAAGGGAATTTTTTAAGTTGCCATAAAATGTTTTATCTTAAATCGCTCTTAGTACAACACGACGAGGCGCGTTCTTGAATGAATGTTGTTTATTAACAAAACCGATAAATGGGCTTATTAGACTTTGAGTTTTAATTGCATTTAACATTGCAGATTAATTATGAAGCAAAAACTGGTGCTTCTTCAACGAAATATTTTTAATAAAAATCTTTCAATTACCACGAATACTATACTTCAAATCAAATACCCGTCTCTTATTACATTTAGAATTAAATTAATCGTTTAAAAGTAGAACACCACATCTACAGCTATTCCCGATATACCAAATTATATATACCACACAAAATTTACTCTCTACGGTAAATTAAATAATAATCACTCTTACACAAACACTACTTGACTGAATGAAACTGACTGTGTCTAAGTTAAAGTTTCTAAAATTACTAACAAGCGCAAATATTGTTGTATGGCGGTAAAGTTCAGTGGGCAGTTAGAGCAGAGTTACCGCGAGTTGTGGTAGAAGCGGACTGGGCGCGCGCGCCACCCTCGCGCACTGTTCCGCCCGCCCAACGAGAACTGACCGCCATGTATAAAATTCAACTGGAAGAGATTGGCTTTTAGACGTAATTTATTTCTATGTAAAGATAGTTTGCTTAAAGGAATAATGACTTCCTACGCCAGCTATGTTGTACGAATGCTCATATATGTAGTCGTATAACTAATTAATGTGTTTGTTAGTTGTTTACCATTCAATTTAATACATTTGTATTTTAATCCTTACCGACTTAGGTAAATGATTTTATTGTACATTTATTGGCTTTTAATTTTATTTAGCTACTGCAATATTAGATTATTTACAAAGGTAATCCCAAACATAAGGCTTAACTTGTGTTTGGTCAACAGAATATTGGTCACTAGCTGACCCGCGCAACTTCGTCTGCGTCTCTCAATAGTAATAAATTTTCTCCGTTTTTGAAACATTCTTCATTGGTGCTCCGCTCCTATTGCTCTTAGTGTGATGATATATAGCCTATAGCCTTCCTCGATAAATGGGCTATCTAACACTGAAATATTTTTTCAAATCGGACCAGTAGTTCCTGAGATTAGCGCGTTCAAACAAACAAACAAACAAACTCTTCAGCTTTATAATATTAGTATAGATTTTCGTTCACATATTAACTGATTCCAGGCTATACTACAATTAACCAGAAAAATTAAGAGAGAAGAGTATCTTTTTTTGTGAATAAAAGATAACCTATGTTCATTTCTGTACACTTGACAATTTATGTGTTTTCATGAGTAGACGTATAAGCATAACAAAGTCATTCTCTCATACACTAGTTTAATGTTAGTTATGATACGCGTGTATCAGTCACAAATCAATAAAATGATTACATCTTCTAATATTATTTTGAACTAATAATATATCGGTTGTGAGCGTTTGATGTTTAAGATATTTTTACATAGATAACATCGAAGGCCGAATCAATGCTACGAGTGTTTTTCTTATCTATTCTAAAATAATTTTAGCATCATTTTAGCAGTTGCTATGAAAGATATTGCTCATAGTAACATAATGAGCTCACGTAACCTATTGTCTACAATCAGCTTAAAGTACTCGTAGAAGGCTTTACTGAACAATATCCTTAGTGCGCATAGTGTCTCCAATCGATTGCTTTTTGAGCGCAAATATGAATAAGAAAAATCGAGTTGACATAAATGTCTGCTAAAATCACTCTGATGTCTATAGTACACTTTTACAATCAACCAAGTTATATAACTAACATAATTTTCTTCTATGTATTCCTCAACTACGGAAGCATCTGCTTGGTGCTCTTATGTGTAGAAAATATATCTTTAGCTTAGAATATTTAAAGGTTAAGTTAATTGCGTAAATAGTTCTCACAGCTTTAATGACTAAAAGGTATTTTAATCTATATTAGATTGAATTGATTAGAAGATGTACATTAGTAACCATTAAGATTTGAACACAATACAAAGTACTTACGTACTCTTGTATTGCATCGCGGTACAACAATTTTACATCTGTTAAAATCCTTACTGCGTATTGTGCAAAAAAAAATTAAATACACGTGACAAATATTTTCAGTCTTTTAAAACGTACAATTCATAGAAAATGTTTTTACAGTCACTTCTGATTTTATATTTCTCGGTCCCACGCCTCGGGGATTACGCTTATTGCGTCCCAGGGAGTCGACAGATTGTAACCTCCTATACGGCCTTATACAAACAAACTGATCTGTTCATCTTATTGCTTTCTTTCTCTCTGTATATTTAGATCGCGTAAGCTGTCGAATTGGAAATAACGCCATAAGGATTCAACAGATGAAGTCGTTTATTTCGTCAAATCCACCGAAATTTGATTTTACTCAATTTGTACTTATGAATGTGCGATTATTTACAATTTAGATACATTCGTTTTTTACAAATTTGCGATTTATATCCTTTGAAGGGTTTTGAAGTAATTTCACACATTAGATTGTATTTTTTATTTTCTTTAGGAGAAGCAGTGAGTGATGAAAGCTTTAAGAGTCCTCCGTGAACAAGATATAAGCAATTGGCCATCGGCCGCTAATGTTAGGAATATCGAAAGTTTTCTATGACTAGAAGTCAAATGTCCAAAACACTTATTCTTTCTTTTTTAAGGCTTTTCGTTTGATCACTTTTTTAGAGTTTTAATTTCCATAACCATTGTTTCTTCCAGTGATGGCTTGTCTATGCCATATCAACTAATGATTAGGAGAATCTCGCAGTTAGATCACAATTTGACGACAAAAATCCCTAAAAAATTTAAAGGGTATAAAAACTTTAGTGACTCACTATGGAATTCATATTAAATGCAGATAATATTTAAAAACATGTGATTTAAAATTAATTCTTCATTGTATAGTTCATTCCAGAAACTTTTAGACCTCACTACGTACAGTACGTACATAGCAGTTGCACCGGTAACATATTTTACTTCTATCCTTTATTTCAAGTGAATTATACTTATCGTCCTAAACTGTTAACACTACAGATAATCTGAAAAACATGTCGAGATAAATTATTGAAACTGGCACTTGAATAACATACAACAACAAATAACAAGAAGGTAATGTTTTTTCCGTTATATTGAGTTTACTATAGTTACCTTTTGCAAAATCCAATGCCAAGAACGTATTAGGACTACAACGACATAATAATTCACTTAAAGAAATGGTAGTAATTACTTTCGGCAATGTGTTACAAAGGTTGTTCTAGAATTTTCCAAATGAACTTTACAATACGCGGTTTACACTGCCTCAATACAGTACTTTTCTAGCTATCTTGATCTGGTTTTCTATACATTTAGTAAGAAGACATCTCGAGCTGTGCAGTTAAATCCATATATCAGAAGGCGTAGTACCTACTAGAAAACTTTTTATTTTTTAACGATTGTACGATTGTCAGAGATAGGGACAGATCATAAATATGTTCACTATATACATATAGGTATATATATATATAGGTATCCATACTTATATTATAAATCTGAAAGTGAGTTTGTTATTTGTTGCGCTTTCAAGCCTAAACCACTAGACCGATTAGAAAAATTCTTTCAATAATGGAAAGTTACGTTATGAGCCACTTTTTACCGCCATAACCAACAAACACGCGGCAATAGCTAGTACCGTATATATATACATATATATTTTATGTCTAATCTTTTTTTTCAGGCCTGCTGGTAGTGGTTTGTGACCCTGACTGCAAAGCCGGCGATTGTGGGTTCGATTCCCACCCTGGACAAATATTTGTATGATGAGCACAATCGTTTGTTCTGTCAAATATATAAGTATGTTTATCAGCAGTCTGTTTACCACAGTACAGGCTCTGTTTACTGTTTACAGGCTCTTCTCCTAGTTTGGGATCCGACAGCCGTGCGTGAGATGTGTGTGGTTATTTTTATTATTAGCGTGTTCCTTACTATTTTATCTTCTGTGCTAAATGATAGTTATATTGATTATGTTCTCGTTGCAGACAAAATGCGTTCCAAGGTCCAGTTTCGTGGTCACTTAGAGGGTAAGGTCAAATTGGCCTCGAAGTAGCTCGGTGTGCTGAACAGTATTAACAGCTGCAGTCAGTATTCACTCCGGCCCACCGCCTCCAACTCGGCGGCGGTAGTCGTTTTCCATCTGATGATCCGTCTGCTCATTATGTGTTCGTGTTTCTATAAAAAAAAGAAAGCTGTCATCGAGATTTCAGCTGTCTGAGACAATGAAACTTTCGGATTTGAAATGGGTTCTAACTTCAGAAAGTTCCTAAATATATTGGCATTTAAATT